ACGGGTACTTGGCCTATGGTTACCACGATTATATAAAAGTCTATAATTTGTGCAAAATTTGCAAAGGGAAATTTGTATTGATCACCAGCTTGCACGAAAGAACAGAGTGTGATTGCCCACATAGAAGAATTACCTTGCAGACTGCAACTCAGCGGCAGTGCCGGATGTAGCTCTTCTAGCAATTTCCATAGCGCTTGAAACTCTACCACCATCACCAGTGTTGCCGGCATCGTCTCCAAACAATATAGGCTTGGTTTTTATGGGTTGTATGATCTTAGCAAATGCATGCGTTACCCATAGGTGTTCCCCTGCCCGAATCAGGAGCATTTGACTGCAACGAAAAAGGGTTTTTCGGTTCTTCTGTTTCAGGAAATAGATGCGGATGCCAAAGCCGAAGGAAAGCTTCGCTGGCGAAGTCATCAACAATTTTCTCATGAACCAACTGCAACAAGAGTACACCCTGAAAAGATGAGAAAATGCAGGAATCCGGTCAAAAGCCAGATGATAGCAAGTGATCATTATTTATTCTATGAAGAACATGACATCTTTAAGAAAAGATTCTGTAACTGTTCAAAGAAGTTATATTTTCCTCATAACATTCAAACATTTAGAAGAAAGTGGGAGAATAAGTAAAAATTAAAAGTAAGAAACGCATATTGTTGATTGTTGCACTCAAATAAGCTTACCCTGCTATTTAAAAATCCTGCATTCATTTTGAAGTCATCCATCTTCCCCACAATCTCTTTTCGAAACCCAGTAGAAAAGATTAAAACTCCGTTCTTTTCGTTATCACATAAGGGCATCAAAGACATGGGCATCACAGTGATCTTAGGAGGTTGTCCTCTGAACTTAGATTCTAAAAGTAAACGTGAACTTTAGAAGCAATTTGAAATAAATTAATATCGTATACTCACTGCTATAATCTTTGTATAGAGAATTTACATTGCAAACTTTTGTGGCACTATAGTCTAAGAGGTCACAAGGATCCAGTGGATCGCCGTTGTCGTCTACAAACCCTTCATCTTCTTCTTCTAAAATGTTCACTATAATACAAGAAAAATATCTCCCGTTTGCAATTGCATGGTGCGAAAATCTACATGTGTTAATACAAACAGTATTTTTACTTTATTAAATACAGGTAAGAAGGCATTGTTCGCAAAAAAATAAGGGATCATTAAGTTGAGAATTTTTGAATAGGCCCTGTTGAGGGCTGCCTAAACGCTAACGTTTACAAAGATTAGCAACAATCAGGGTTGACAAATAGTAAATCCGGTCAACATACGGCGCAAAAAAAAGGCGGTGAGAATCAAAGCAAAGCCTTCGTCAGATGTGATTTGAAATTATGCACAATTTAAGATCCATCAATCTCCACTTTCCTCTCAATCTCAGCACTAGCAACACCAGCATCTCAGTGATAATAGCTTTCGTATTCCCGCAAAGCATTAAAGCTAACGACCTTCTT